AGAGCAAGACCTTGCTCTCCAACAACTTTTTCCATACAAATCTTCTTATTCTTTTAAAAATTCAGACTGTCATAAAATCTCATTCCTTAATGATGGGGGTCTCAAACTTGGCCATTTTGATATTTTCGACATGGTTTTTCCATTTCTGGCATTTGTTATGTCATAACCCATAATTTTATGAAAAGTAGGTCACGTGATGGCTTAGCTGCAAAGGGCCTATTCATACCTTTTTAGGGTGATAAGTTTGAAATTTGCATATCACTTTGTTCAAACGTAAATGTCTTAAGTAACTCTTAACTTTTTCTTCGTCACTTAGTTATTATTCGCTCTACTTCAGTTTGTAATGGGCTAAAAACAACGATGAACTTGTGCTCTATAAACTAATTATATCGTTGTTTCGTGTGCCCTTGTCTGGTGGTTACATGTACAAATTGACTTAATCCATACTCACTTTGTGAGTTGGGTATGAAAAGAAAACAACGTACTGTTTAAAGAATTCGTGTTCGACTTTATTTTGTATCGTATACCGCAATAACAAAAGAACATTCAGATTGCGTGGCAGCCCCTATAGACCCTATTCATAAATGGCTGCCAATTTAAAATTCTTTTGTATGCAATTAAATTTGCCCCTCTAACCTTGTTTGAGAGTAAAAATTCTTTTGAATTGTCCACTCAAAAACGAGGTTAGTTGGGCTAATTTTAATACTTACAAAAGAATTTTTAAATTGCGGCCATTTATGAACAGGTTTTATTAGTATGATTTCGGAAGCGATTGATGCATAAATCAACATAATATTTGCCTTAGGAAAAAAATATTGATCCCAGGGAAACAGAGCAACTCTAATACTTACAGATATTTTAAAGATCTGCAGTTGATAAAGGATGCTCCTGGGAACTTTTTTAACTTGTTCATGCCCAATGCTCTAAACGGAAATAGGACAGAAAATAGCTTTATAATTGATCTCGATGTTAAAGTGCTGTGAAACAAAACTGAAACGCAATTAGGGTTGCGGTTAACGTACTGAGGAAAAGAAAGNCTGATGGGTTAATCCTGTCTAAAGATTCGTTTATTATTATTATTATTATTATTATTATTATTATTATTAGCTCCCTTCATCTATTGGATTGAACATTTAGAACATAATTCAGTATCTCGATCAGTATAAAATTATTAAAGAAACATGGTAAACCAATATGGTCGGCACTATACTTACAAATGTAACAGCTGAGAGTCATTGCCAAAGAATGGTTTCAAGGTTGGATATGTAATTGATGTTATTTCATTTTTGTCGACGGATCTAGAAGTAAAAAAAAAACAAGACAAAGAAAAAGCAGAGTGAAAACGTAAAAAGAGACAAACAAAAGTAACCATAGTTTAACTAAAACTTTATTCATACCTTTTTAGGATAATAAGTTTGAAATTTGCATATCACTTTGTTCAAACGTAAATGTCTTAAGTAACTCTTAACTTTTTCACCATCACTTGGTCATTATTCGTTCTACTTCAGTTTGTAATAGGCTAAAAACAACGATGAACTTGTGCTCTATAGAATAATTATATCGATGTTTCGTGTGCCCTTGTCTGGTGGTTACATGCACAAATTAACTTAAGCCATGCTCACTTTGTAGGTTGGTTATGAAAAGAAAACAACGTACTGTTTAAAAATTCGTATTCGACTTTATTTTGTATCGTATACCGTACATGTCGCAAGAGTAAAAGAACATTCAAATTGCGTGGCAGCCCCTATAGACCCTATTCATAAATGGCTGCCAATTTAAAATTCTTTTGTATGCATTTAAATTTGCCCTACTAACCTTGTTTGAGAGTAAAAATTCTTTTGAATTTCAAAAACGAGGTTAATTGGGTTAATTGTAATACTTACAAAAGAATTTTTAAATGGCAGCCATTTATGAATAGGTTTTATTAGTATGATTTCGGAAGCGATTGATGCATAAATCAACATAATATTTGCCGTAGGGAAAAAAATATTGATCCCAGGGAAACAGAGCAACTCTGATACTTACAGATATTTTAAAGATCTGCAGTTGATAAAGGATGCTCCTGGGAACTTTTTTAACTTGTTCATGCTCAATGCTCTAAACGGAAATAGGACAGAAAATAGCTTTATAAATGATGTCGATGTTAAGGTGCTGTAAAACAAAACTGAAACGCAATTAGGGTTGCGGTTAACGTACTGAGGAAAAGAAAGCAA